CTGAGGGCTCTTCATTCATCTGGAGGCAGAGGGGCAGCCGGGCTGCCTCACCACAGAGCTACAACCAGAACCGGGACTCCAGGTCTGAAACCATACAGAGGATAACATCAGAAAGGGGTCAGGGCAGAGGAAAAATACTGAGATTAAATAACAAAACAACAGCAGGCTGGGAGGAAGGGAGTCTCTACTGTGTTTGACTTTCGGTTATACCAGTTCCTGTGCAGCTTTTCAAGAAACATTTACAGACTTCCACAGACTGAAATCTACGGTGGCCTACAGGTGCAAACCTGCTGCAAACACACAACACCAGTGCAACAGAGAACTGCTGCAAAAGAAAACTGCTGCAAATACAAAAACAACAACATATTTACGTCGGTAATATTACTGAACGACGCCCCCTAGTGGTCTAGTGCACTTCTGATTTGTGGGGTGAGGTTGCAGCATTTTTTTTTAAACTTGTTTTCATATTTGCAGCTTTTTTCTTTTGCATTGGTTTTTTGAGTTTGTGAGGTTTGGAGTTTGCACCATTTATATGTCTGCATGTCTGCCACCATAGAAATCAGAGCTTTAGTTAATTCCTAATCTATTTTAACGGATCAAAACAAAATTTACTGTTGAAGGAGAAAGCCTCTTCTAATGGAAAACAATATGACAGCACAAGTTATGTTTGGAAAGCTGCATCTGAATGAAGAACGAGACGTCTGGAACAATCGCCTTTGGACTGATGAGACCAAAGTAGAGATGTTTGTCTATAATGTGTAGCACCATGTTTGGATAAATCAAACACAGCAGATAAGCACAAACACGGTGGTGGTGGTGGTGTAAAGATTTGGGCTAAGTTTGAGTCGGCCATGATCTCCTCTGTTGACTGAATGAGATTTTACCTGATCTCAGGAACACAGGGGGGTTGATGCAGCTGTTTGTCTTTCAGCTCCTGAACAAAATCCGAATCAAACCTGGAAAACAAATACTTCATTTCAAATTCTTCATTAGTCTTCAACTTGTCTGATTATGCGCTCACATGAAGACACAAAATCTACCGTTACAGCTCAATAAACTAGAATTTCACCGAAAAGTTTCATTAGTTCAGTAATTCTGTTAAAAACATGCTGCTCATATATTTCATTTATTAAAAAGGTTTTGCTCAAGTGGCTCAGACAGGACTGATCAACCTTTTGAGATCCGCATCATATACAACACTAAATTTGTCTATTTTTGTCTGTAGTTCCTGCAAGATTTTGTTTGGGTTTTCCTCCAAAGACGTCAGACTTACGGTATGGCTAGCATCACTTAATAGGTTCCCTTCTTATCCAATAGAATTCATATCTGTACCTCCAGAAAACATGCACCAGGTGAGCTGACAGCCTGCCAGTCAGAGTGAATTATAGAGACAGAACCGCTGTTGGAGCAGAATCTGACCAGTCTCAAACATAGAGAGACGCAGGGGAACCGCCTGAGGAGAAAGCAAGCTAGTTCAGAGAACATAAAGGATTATTAGCTTCTGAAAATATTTACTTTAGCTGAAGAGTCTTTTCTAATATTGAGAAAAATATCTAAAATCCTGAGAAATATACAGAACCCTCCTGGTTCCTTCATGTTCTCTGAAAGGAAAGACAAAGAACTCATCTGTCAGGTTGACTTTAACGAAGGAGAAAGACTGCAGTTCTGGTTGGACCCACTGGGCCCAAACCAAACTGCAGCCTTGGCCTGAAGGTGAAAACTGAAGACATCTCTGAAGGTTCCGTATCCCAAACACAGAACCTTAATTATTGAGCGATGGAGCATGTGAGGAGGCGAGCAGTGTATTATTTATCTGCAGGGTTGGTGTTATGTAACACATCTACCCCTCTTACTGCTCGCCGTCTGCTCTCTTCAAGGCCTTTAGAGACTGCAGACCAGAACTAAAAGGCTGGAGCTGATCGGACCAGAAACTCGGTAACAGAGGCAGAATTTTTGCACAACCGGGAGGAAAAAGAAGAGATTATCCTACAAAAACGCAGCAGACACCTGACAACTTTCTGGCTCCAACAACTCTGAACATAAAATAACATTTTATTCCTCTTAAAGCTTTATGACAAACTTGTTTTTTCCAGCAGAGGAGATGGTCAAACCTCAAACACATTCCTGACCAACCAGAACCTCAGAACATTCTGCAGAGCTCAGCTGCAGCTGCTGTAAAATCTGAACCTTATTCCTCCTCCCCTAAAGAACATCTGGACTACATCTAGTTCACACACTGCCCGAGCTGTCCTTCAAACTCAGCAGCCGTTCACAAGCTGAAGAGTTTCCCCCAAACATTCGGTCAAGTGCATAAAAATTTTATACAAGAGACGCTAAGACATGCTTTTTTTAGGATGTAGTTATTCAGCAACATTGGACACAGCTTCTTGTTGTAGTATGGAAGCACAGCGGAGGAATATTAAAATGTGCAGCTTAATTTCAACCCTTTGTTCCCACCTCTTGGCATCACTTCAGTGATCTGGCAACAGCGTGGGGTTTTCCAGCTCTTATTGTGATATTAAAGAGGGGTGGGGTGTTAAGTGGTAAGACCATCTGATGCCATAGAGACTTTAAACAGACGATAATTAGTGCTACAGTAGCACAGAAACTCCCAAATTCAGCTGTTTATGGTTAATTTAAAACAAACAGACGAAAACTAACAATGCACATCACCCTGAACACACTATCACCATGATAGGACACAGTGGTGGCAGCATCATGCTGTGGGAATGCTTTTTTTTGGCAGGAACAGAAAATCGTATTAGAGTTAAAGACAATGACCCTAAACATACAGCCAGAGCTTCACTAGAACATCAAAACATATTCATGTACTAGAATGACCTAGTCAAAGTCCAGACCTAAATCTCATTTATAAATCTGCAGCTGGGTGTGAAAACTGATGTTCACAAGTGCTCTCCGCCTGATCTGATTGAGCTTGAGATATTTTAAAAGGAAGAAGGGACACAAATTTCATCCTCTACATATTTAAAGTTGGTGGAGACAAGGCCCAGAGGACCTGCAACCGGGCCTGCAGAAGGTGGTTCTATAGGCACTGACTCAGACGGGTTGAATACAAACTCACACCACATTTGTCCCTAAACTCGTGTATCATTTGCCTGCGAATTCACAATACAGCATTTAGTTCCCACCTGTCATCAGTTATAGTGAATCTGATGGACCGGAGATAAGCTTCAACTGTCCTTGTAGGATTTTCCTCACATTGTTTCATTAGCATCCTGTAGCTAAAACTAGAGTTTGCAGAGAAGTTACCAGAATGTCGTTGTTGAAAGGTTTTCCAAGGTTTAACATGGGTTTGGCCCAGCCGTTGCAGCTATTGCTGCTACAACTATTCTGGAAAGGCTTTCCACATGGTTTAGGCGTGTGTTTATGGGAATTTTTTACCTTTCTTACGGAAGTGCTTTGGTTGAGGTCAGACACAGATGTTGGATGAGAAGCTCTCTATGTACTGTTCTTGAGCTAATCTGAAGACCACGTGAAGACTGGAGCTCTGGAGCTATTGTCCCTGCAGAATGTTGGTGACCTGTTTGCACTTTGGGCCTCAGCACCCTTTGACCGCTGTTGATTCACTGTTTTTCACTTCTACTTCGTTATAATCCCACTAACAGCTGTTTGATGTGGCATCTCATGGTGTAGGATTATGGTACCAAGCTGGAAATCCCTGAGCTCCTAAGAACAACACATTTTTTCACAGATGCCAGAAGAAACAGTCATGGAGGTTGGCCATGGAGGTGACTGGAACACCTGAATTCAGTGATGTGCTAGGAGGAGCAAATACTTTAGAAATGCAAACACACACACACCATGACACATGGAAGAACGTCATCAAGAACGGGTCTAAAACCAGTCAGGGACGGTGCAAAGAGGTCCACAGCAACACTGAAGGAGCTGCAGGAACTTCCAGCGACTGCTTGTGTTCTGAATGGGACAACAAGCTTCTGTTAGAAGATTCTGAGCAAGAGTCCATGACAGAATCCTAAAATATCCTGGCCTGGCCAAAATCTCCCAAAACCTTGTGAGACAATGTGTTCTCTCCAATGAAACCAAACTGGGAGTTCTGGGACACAACTCCAAAAAGTATGATGTTTGGCCCAAAACAGCAGAAGAACACCACATCAACAGTGAAGCATGGTGGTGGCTGCATCATGATCCGGGGTTACTTTTCTTCAGAGGAACCTGGAGTTTGGATCAAGCATGATGAAATTCTGAATAGCTCCAAATGCCAGTTAGTTCTGACCCAGAACCTTCAGGCATGTCTGCGGCAAGGATGAAGAGGAATTTTATTTTCCAGCCTCACAGTGAAGCAGTCATCTGCTTCAACAGAAGAATGACTTCACCACTCATGTTCTGGAACAACCAAGCCAGAGCCCAGAACTAGTTCTGACAGAACATCTGTTGGGTCACTCCGGCAAGCAAAGAGAAACGACCCTTTCACACAGGACCGGGTTAGTTTGGATCATCATTTCAGAGCAGATTTTGGTAGGTTATCTGTGTCTGACATAAATGTTTCAGATCAAATAAACGTTAAAGTGTAACAAGAACAAACAGATTCATTAGACAGAGAAAAATATTTCAAATGTTTATTTTCATAATTATGGCTTACAGCTAAAACAAAACAAAAATGCAGTTCTTATGAGAGACTAATAAAGACCAAAATTAGGCCGATAATTAAGTATGATACAGAAGTGTTGTTATGTCCCACAAAATCCTCAGCTGACATGACAGTTGTCCAGCAGACAGTCACTGACACCCTCCATAACAAGCCACATAAACTCATTGCTAAAGAAGCTGGCTGTGCATTCAGTGCAGGTAATAGAAAATTGAGTGGAAGGAAAAGGTGGGGGACAAACAACAGGGATGATCACATTCTTCAGAGGTTTCCTAATTTATTTATTTTTTTGCAGCACTAGAGGCCAAAATTATAATTTTTCGATAGTAGGTAGACAGGAAAGAGGGGCAAAGAGAGGGGGAGACATTCGGCAAGGGTCGCTGGGTCAGGGACTCGAACCTGGGACAGCCTCACAGAGGACTGTAGTCTCTGCAGGTGGTTGCGCGCTTAACCACTACACCACCAGCGCCTCGCCCAGGTTTCCTAATTTTGAATTAAAAGCAAAAAGGAGCCCTGACCAGGAGGTGTACAAAGACATTATTTTCAGAAGGCTGACATTTCAGTATGTAAAATTCATCTTTTAAAATTTGTCTGATGTGATTTCTAACTTTCTAAGACCCCCGTCCCCATCTGGAGAGGGGGTCATGAACAAAAGAGGGGCCTACCTGGTCCAAACGAGCCAGCCAACCAGAGCCACCCCAGGACAAAGCAGTCCCAACCTCCCAATGAATTCAGATCTCAGCCCCATGAGCCCCTCCACCCCCAATGAACCCCAACATGAAGTTCCTCACAGGGCCACCCCCAAACAGGACATAAATATGGAGCACATGCCTCCTGAGCCCAAACGCCCTGAACGGGGNGGGCCACCCCCAACCAGGAAATAAATTTGGACCAACTGCCCCCTGACCCCAAACCCCATTAACGCCCCCCCCCCCCCCCAACACAGGGGCACATCTCCACAGACGAGCTCCATCCCTGATGTTCTAATTTAATGAAAAACTGAATTCGTTTTTTTTTTTTATTAAATATAAGCCATAATCATCAAAATTAAGAGAAATGAACGTTTTAAATATATCATAGGCTGATCTTTTTAAAACTGATTTTCTAAAATAACTCAACATTGCAATGATATTCCTGAAGACTAAATGGTGATAATTCTTAGTTTTTATGTATTTAATGAATAAGAGAGGAACAAATATTCTTCAGTATGTGACTGACTGATCATTGATCAGGGTTGAAATATTGGCCAATGTCTAATTTCATTTTGAAAATCAGTAACGATAAACTTGCTCTTACTCTGTCTGGTTTCTGATTGGGCCAAAACAGCTTGACCTGCACCGACCTACCTGCTGGTTCTGACTTCAGACCGCACTGCTGGTCTTGTTTCAGGTTCTGGACCATTCAAACAACTTGTTTATGCTCGAACTGCTGCATCTGAATATGACAATGCACCATCAGTCAGAAAAGACCTTGAGTTGAAAACTGCATTTTTTCTGCGTTCGGTCTGGATGATGAACGTTGTGCATTGAACGCAGCAGCTGCTTTCACTGTCTAACTGACTGTTTGTGATCAATGTGTTATTTTATAATGAATGCCTGCAGTGAGAAAACGAAAAAAGCAGCTTCTGCAGCAGGGCCAGCGTCAGCCATGTTGCTACCTTTTCCTTATATCTTCTCAGTCCATTATTAACAGATCAGAAGGGGAAAGGGGTCGGATGCCTCAGTCCACAGAACAACAGGGGGACAGTCTGAGAGCGTAACCCGGGACCAGGACTGTCCCAGACAGGGAGACAGCCGGGGACTGGGTTAGGTCTCTGGCTGTCTGCTGCTGCCTCTCCCGCCCCTCCCCCTCGGCGGGAGAACGCAGCGAACAAAACGAACGCTCCGTGTGTTGTTGTTGCTTGTTTACCTGCATGCTAACCGGGCAGGTGCACGCTTCTTTCTGCCTTACCGTGAAAATGGCTTAAAGAAAGGAGGTTGGGGCGGGAAAACGAAGGGGTTCCTGGCCTCCTGCTGGTCTGTCCACAGAGCCCGTTCCGACTTCACAGGAACCAGAGACACTTCACGGCCATCTCACCTTCAGGGGTCAAGCTGGAAGCAGCTGGCCGCTAAACTTCCGGCTGCGCCTTTCAAAATAAAAGGCGTCCCAGCTAGCGCAGATTTCAAAAAATCCCATGGAGACCCTCCTATGTAACAGTGATTTAGTGTCTCCCCGTACGGACGAGACACACAATAAAATATGTTTAAGCTAAACAAAAAGTAAATATAAAATTTTTATTTAAGTAGATTACGTAAATCTATATTGAAATATACTGAATAGAAATATATTTAAATATTTAATGTAAGCATTTTTTTATATTTTTGACATAAAGAAAATATTTTTATATATTTACACTTTAAATATTTACATATAATCATTTTCAATAAATAAAAACATGTTCCAAGGAGGCCCTTTTGTCAGATTAAAAAAAACATTTCAAAAAAATAACTTTTAAGCAGATGTTAAAACTACTTTTAATAAAAACACACATTTCTGTATTAAAATAGTTTTAACTTTTTATGTAATATTCTAATCTGAAATGTCCACCCATCCATTTTCTATACCCACTTCTTTCACACAGTGTCATGGGGGAGCTGGTGCCTCTCTCTCTCTCTCTCTCTATATATACAGGTCCTTCTCAAAATATTAGCATATTGTGATAAAGTTCATTATTTTCCATAATGTCATGATGAAAATTTAACATTCATATATTTTAGATTCATTGCACACTAACTGAAATATTTC